GGGCGGGGCAGTGCGGGCGCGGGGCGGGGCGGCACAGCCGAGCTATGGCGGACGAGGGCCCGCGGAAGGGCAGCGTCTCGGCGCTCGTGGGCCGCACCAACGGCCTCACCAAGCCCGCAACACTGGCGGGCGGTTCCGCCAAGCCGGGAGGCGCGGGCGGCTCCAGGAAGCTGGTCATCAAGAACTTCCGAGGTGGGGCGCGGGTGCAGGGGGCGCGTGGGCCCGGCCTCGAGTCTTCGGCCTCCCTGGTCCTCCATTCCTGGGCTCCCCCTAAGTCCCCGCCTCTCAGGTTCCCGGTACCCGACTTGCCTCGCTCCGACCTCCGGGTCCCCAGGCTCCCCGCTGTCCCGGGGCTCCCCACTGTCCCCCGGTGCCCGGCCGTCCCGTCCCCACGGCCGCTGACCCTCCGTCCCCACAGACAGGCCTCGGCTGCCGGACAACTACACGCAGGACACGTGGCAGAAGCTGCACGAGGCAGTGCAGGCCATCCAGGGCAGCACGTCCATCAGGTACAACTTGGAGGAGCTGTACCAGGTGAGCCCGCGGGTGTCCCCAGGAGGAGATGGTCGCGTCATTACGCGGTCACGCGAGGAGGTTGGAACCGACCCGGGGCCCTGACGGCCTCCACCCGCGCGGCGAGTCACCGCTGGAACTCCATCGAGCTGCGCATAGAACTTACTGCTGTACACACTACAGCAGCACTCACTCCCAGAGCGTGTTTTGGCCTCTTTGTTGTACTTTGTGATTAATTAATGCAGACTAGGGTTGCAGGTTTTGTTACAGGTATACTGAGAGTAGTGATACACTATTTCTAAAGAAGGGGAGAAGATGGCCAGAAGTACACTTGCTGTGTGGATATTTCCCTCAAAGCAGATTTTTGGGGATCATTTTATAAAGTAATGTTCCATTAAGTATCTAACTTTACTTTTTAGGTAATCAAAGCACATTTATTTCTTCTGAGAGGTTTGAATTTAAATTTTTCTCCTGGTTGCACAAAAGAGTATGTTATAAAAATTATAGAAAGTACAAAAAAGGAAACTTTAATCTCTTATATCTCCACCACCCAAAGAAAACTACTACAGCTTGAGCATCCCTAATCCAAAACTCTGAGATTCTCCGAAGTCCAAAAGGTTTTATGTGCAGCATGATGGTATAATTTGGAGAATTCCCAGACCTGACTTCATGTGACATGTTGCAGTCAAAACAAAGATGGGAAAAACTTATAAAATTACCTTCAGTCTATATGTATGAGGAGTATGTGAAACATAAATGAATTTCGTGTTTAGACTTGGATCCTGTGTCCAGAGTATGTGATGTATATTCGAATGTCACAAAACCTAAAACCCAAAACACGCGTGTACTGAAGTTTGGTGCGTACATAGCTGTTCTTTAAGTGTTTGAGTTGGTTGTATTTTTTAATCAGCTTTATTAAGGTACCATTTACATTTAACATATACTCTAGTAGGTTTGAACAGACATATATTGCTGTTTTCAACACCTCAATCAGGAAGTCGAGTATTTCCATTACCTGGATACTTCCCGGCCACCTGGGCAAGTCAGTCGTCTTCCCTCTCCTATTCCTGACAGTCGCATTTGTTTTCAGACACTATTTTGCCATTTCTAGTCATTTAAATAGAATCGTGCTTTTTGCTCTGTGTTATATTTGGCTTTTAAGACTCAAACCATGATAAAAATCTGTTCTTTTTTATCACTAAACAGCATGGCTTACCAAAATTGGCTTATCTCTTCACCTGTTTGTGGGCATTTTGGTATCTAGCTTTTGGTTGTTAGGAGCAAAGCTGTTATGGATGTTTGATAAGTCATCATAGGGACTTCCATTTTTCTTCCCTCTCTGCAAAATGCCTAGATATCATCAGGGTAACATGGTAAGGGTATTTTGAACTTTACAAGAAGTCTCCACTTTCCAAAGCAGCCAGACCTTTGTGTCTCCACCAGCAGTGTGTATCAAGTTAAGTTGTCCCACATCCTTGTCAGCATTTGGTATTAGCAGTCTGCAGTTTTGGCTGTTTTCATAAATGTGTAGTTTGGCCAGGGAGTTAGCTCAGTGATATACGTACCTGCTTGGCAAGCATGAGTTCGTGAGTTCGATCCCTGGTCACCAGGAAAACAAACCTGAAAACAACAACATAAATGTGTAGTTTTACTCTACATTTTCCAATGGATACTAAGCATCTTTTTACCTAGGAACCAAACTTCAATTTTTTTTTTATGTGTTTAGTTCCAGTTCCATCCTTCGTTGGTGAAATATCTATTGAAATCTTTTGTTAATTTTTTAAGTCAGGTTGTTTGTTTTCCTATTTTTGAGTATCTGAGTTTAGTGTGTATTCTAGATACAGCACTGTATAAGCCTTGTATATATTTTTTTTCTGGTCTCTGGTTTGTACTTTGATTCCCTTATGAGCTTTGAAGAGCAGTAATTGTAAGGTTTTTGTTTTGTTTGTTTGTTTTTGTCTTTTGAGACAGTGTCTGGTCTTGAGCTCACTTTGTAGCCCTATTTTGGTCTTGAACTTGCAACAATCCTCCTGCCTCAGTCTCCTGAGTGCTGAGATTACAGACTTGCACCATCATGACCAGCCCCATTAGTTTTAAGTTTTGAAGTCCAACATATCAGCTGTTCCTCTATGAGTTGTGCTTTTAGTGTGTAAAAATATCTTTGCCCTAGTCTAAAATCACAAAAATTTTCTCTTGTATTACAGACAGTTTAAAGGTTCAGGTTTTGACCTAAAATTTTTGTATGTATTGTGATATATAAACCAAAATGCATTTTTTGCCTCTAAATGTTCAGTTCTGACATTGTTTTTTTTGTGTGTGTGATTTTTTTTTTTTTTTTGATTGTCTTTTCCACACTGAACTGCCTTTGCTTCTTTGTTAAACAGCAGCTGCCCGTCTAGGAAGGGTGTAATGTGTGTTGGCCCTCTGACATAACCCTTTTTCAAAGTCGTTTTGACTAAGGTTGGTCCTTTGTATTTCCACATGAATTTTAGAATCTTAATTTCTACCAAAAAGCTTGGTAGAATTTTGATTGTTGTGTAGAATCTGTAGATGGGGTAGAGAGAATTGACATAGCAACAGTTCTGAGCTGATTATGATAGGGATAGCTTGTGTTCAGGTCTTTGTTATTTCAGCAACGTTTTCTAGTTTCAGATCTACCTCTTTTGTGAAATTTGCCTCGTGTGTGTGTGTGTGTGTGTGTGTGTGTGTGTGTGTGCGCGCATGCGCGCGCGCACACGCATGTGGTCCTAAGCATTAAGCCCAAAGCCTTCACACTGAGGTACATCCCAGCATCTCTCTAACTTGCAAGATTTCTCAGGCTGGGTTTGAGCTTGCAAGCCTCCTGCCTCAATCTCCCAGATGCGGGGATTACAGACCTGTACTAGTGCATCCAATTGATTTCATATTGATGTTTTGTACATTGTACTTTAAATTTCAGTTACTGTTGTTCACTATTGTAGAGAAATGGCCTGTATTTTTATATATTGAGCTTGTGTCCTATTGTCTTGCTGACCTTGCTTGTTTGTAGATTTTTTGTGTATTCTGTCATATGTTCTATTTAGACAGACATTCCTTTCTGTGAATAGAGGCTGGCTTGCTTTTCCCTTCTGACCTGCATACCTGTTGTTTCCTTTCCTAGTCTCATCATGTTGGTTAGTACCTCAGGGACCTCAGATTAGTCAGTGGGGAAAGCAGTCTACTGGTCTTCTTGCTGACCTTAGTGAAACCTTTGATCTTTTCACCTTGCATGTGATGCTCTGTTCCCAGTTTGAGAGTTCTTTTTCCTCATCTTGAGGAGTTTTGTGATTTGTTTGTTAGCATGTTCATTATATTCATTGATTTCTGTTTCAGGCAGTAAGCCAATCTGGCATTATTGAGCTAAATCTTAGCTGGTCAGGTTGTATTCTTTATGTGCTGCTGGATTCCATGTGCTTGCTTTTTATTACTTGTTCATCTGCATTCACCACGGGTTTTGGTGTGCTCTTTTCTTAGTCTGCGTACAATTTTGGTGCCAATGTAATGCTGGCTTCCTGAGTTTCAGGAAGTATTTTATCCTCTTCACTTGCACTGGAGTTTGTGTGGCACTGAGTTCTTAAGGTGCTCAAGAAGATGCCCTGTGGTGGAGCCCCCAGGGTTTCCTTTATGGGAGGTTTATTATATGAGTGTCCTGTATCCACCTGGGCTGTCTGGCCCATCTTCACTCCAGGTGTCTGATTCTCTGCGTCTTAGCTGTTGTCACTGCCACCTGGTATGGGTTTGTCTCACACTTTGCCCTCCTCACTTGTATGCACATTTCCTGTGTTTCTGTTTAACCTTTGGGCACACTGAGTTCAGTTGTAACCTCCCTTTTCTTTGTGGTAGGTTTTTTAAAAATTTTTTTTATTTTAAAAGGGATAAAAGTAAACACAACATAACAGAACAAAATAGGACATAAGAAAGCAATGTAAGAGATATAAATTTCAAAGCTAGACAATCTGAGATCTTCCACGTGGCGTGCTCATATCTATCATATTGTCTCTTGTTTTCTTCCAAATAGTTGTTCACGTCTTCACATACAGAGAATTCACGCAAAACAACATAGTATAAAACTGATTGGAACAGAATGAGGAAGGCGTTTTAGATCTTCAAAACCAGACAATAGGGAAGTCACTAATGGCTGTCATAGTGTCTCTCGTTTTCTTCAAAATAGCTGGCCATACTTTCATGTATATTGAAGTTCAACAAAACAAAACAGGCAGTGGGGGAGGGGTTGCTTGGTTTTCCCATGCTCCAAGTCCCAGCATGGCTCGGGTCCCAGTAAATGCCGGTGGCTCCCATCTTGGGCCACCGTAGCCTGCCACACAGCTTGCTCATGGGGGTGGGGGAGTGGTGGTGGTGTTGCTTGGTTTCCCGGAGCTCCAGGTCCCAGCAAGTGCCAATGGCTCTTGTCCTGGTCCAATGTAGCCTGCCATGCTCACAGCTTCTCACAGTGGGAAAGGGGTGGGGAGGGTTGCTTCAAGCTGTTTCTGATTGACCATTTAACTGCCCAAGTTCTGAAATAGCCAACATACCATAGAAAGACATCTCTTTAGGCTCCTACTTGATACCAACAGCGTCAGGAAGCTGCCGGCCTTGATTCAGGGCCAGTTTTTTTTTCTTTTCTCTTCTTTCTTTCCTCGAGACAGGGTCTTCCTATATAGTTCACTGGCCTTGAACTCATGTGTAACACAGGCTGCCCTCAAACTCATAGTGATTGTCCTGCTTCAGCCTCCTGAGTGCTAGGATTACTGACATGTCTCACCATGCCCACCAGTGACCATTAGTTTATTGTCTTGGTTTCTGACTGAGTCAGTCCTGGGTTGCTTTTGGCTGATTGACTTTTTCTCCTCATTAAGGGTTTGTTTTCCTGCTATCATGTCTGGTGGTCTTTGCTTGATCTCAGATGTAGATGCCACGTGGTGTGCTCATATTCTTTCCTGCAAGTGTTCTTGACCTTTGTTCCAGGCACAGGTAAGTTGTTTGGAACTATTTGGTCCTTTTGAGTCTCGTTAGGCCGGCCCAGAGTGTTGTCGTGTTTGGGACTGGCTGTCCCCAGTGCTGAGATTGGACCTCCCTTGATGCTATGCTGTGGCTCTCCAGACACTGTTGCCACCAACTTCCAGGTAGCTTTCACCCTGGCTCCGAGTGGTTTGCTCCTTGCATGCTCTGAACCTGTGTGTGATGGCCACACCCTCAGGGTGAGTGTTTGCAGTCCCTGAAGATAGCCCTGCTTGTCCAGGGTCCTCCAAGTCCTCACCTCCAGGGGTTCTTGGAGCCTCGCAAACTGCCCACAGGGAAAGCAGAGGGCCCGGCTCTTTCCAGCCAGCCTCAAAGGCCACTGTCCACCAGAGCCCCCAAAGCCTGCTGCTTTGGATATTTTGTCTGGTTTTTGTTTTTTTCTATAGAAATGTGAATCTAATGACTTTACTGCGTTCTAACCAAAAGCAAAAATCCCTCCAAGTACCTCAGCAATCATAAGCTTTTAATTTAGTAAAATATTATACTTTGTAACTGAAGCCTGCCATTCCTTTTCCTGTAGACAGTGGACCATTAGGTGTTAATTACCCATCATTTTCTCCTAAAATAGCAAAATACTTAGCCATGCCATGTGTACATCTCAAAAATTGGTCCCTGAGTGTCATGAATGATATCTGCAGGTATCCAGGGGGTCTGTGCAGAAGCTTGGAGGTGTAGGGCCTCTATCAGGTGAGACTGTCATGTTCCAGGGATCTGTGGGCCACTGGGTTCACGTTGGGACCTGTGACCTGCACACTAGTGTCTGTCCTTGTGCCTCTGCAGAGGTGCCAGGGAAGGGCGGCACACGTTTACAGGTGTTAGTCTCAGGCAGGCAGTATGTCCTGTTTGGTGATGCAGGATGGAATCCCAGCCACTCAGGTGGTGTGGCATTATGTGAAAGATCTTGTTCTCATCGAAGTTTGGAGGGTTTGGTGGTATCTGGGGGAGACTGAGAAGTTTCATCTCTTGCCCACCCCCGGTGTAAACTCTGTGGAACTGTGGGGCAAGGCCCCTGCTTCAGGAGATGGAGAATCTCCTCTCTGAGTTCTTAGCTTTTGGATCACAGCTCAGATGAGAAGTCTCACATGTGCTACCACTAAGCTCTCCTTCATGGGGAGCAAAGGACTTTGGCTTCCAAGGAGTCTGCAGTGAATGCCTGCTGAGCAGTACTCTGTGCCCGTGCTCTGTGCCTCAGGTCCACAGTTCTGGTCCTGTCAGCACAGCAGGACAGTAGTGCCCTGAAAGCTGTGTTTGCTGGAGTGTCAGAGGAAGGCCAAGTGGCTTCCAGAGGAAAGCAGCCCTCAGAAAGGTCCGAGCCATGCTGTGTCTTGAGGGAAGCCCAGCTGGCTGGCTGTCAGCGGCCCTTGGGGAGGGAGGTCGGGTAGGAGAAGAGGCATGTGTTGACTGTTAACAGGGTTGCTAAAACTGCAGTATAAAAGCCTAGAAAGTGTTGTACTTGTTACTTAATGGGCCAATATTACTGATCAGGAACGAATTGAGCACCTAGGTAGACGAGCGCAGGAGACAGGCAGTATCACATACCATGGGCACAGCAGCCCCCTCTCGGATAGATGCCATTCTACTGAGAGGTTCCTCCAGGCGTCCCTTCCGATTTGATTTCTGCACCACCATTTGCTTATTCCTCCCACCAGGAGCCAGAGTCCAGCCCTCTTAGCACCCGTGGCTATGGGCAGCATCAAGTCCTGTGCCAGGCCTGTACCCCGAGAGCATCAGCCTTGACACACCCCTGCTGCTGCCTGTGTGTGCCATGCAGTGGGCAGTGGAGTCATGTACTTTTCCACCCCCCTGGCCTGTTCTTTTCTGTAACAGTTCACCAGGCCTGGTACACAGGGTGTTTATGGCGTTCTCCCAAGGCTTGGGGGATGAGGCATGGGGATTTGTTATCTCCCTACCATACCTATTGGTGACTGTTTTAGTGTTGGCCTGCTTTTCCCTTCACAATCACATCCTCTCTGTGGACCTTGTCTTTAGCTCTGAGTCTCTTGGTGCTAGATGCTGCACCCCACACCTCCCTCCACTTTGCCCCTTTGATGGCCACACATGAGGGGCAGACCTCCTGATGTTGTGGCCCTGGTGTGACCTGCTGGGAGGAGAGACTGTGTGGGGACATGTAAGCAGGTGGACTACACATGCTGCTGCTTTCTTACCTCCAGTTACTGGATCCAGTCCCACATCTCTGTCATAACTGGTTTTCAGCTCTGAGATAGAACTCAGGGGCCCTTCCACAGAGCTGCATGTGCCCTTTATTTGAGACAGGGATTCACTAAATTGCTCAAAATGGCTTTGAATTTGGAGTTGTGATCCTCCTGCCTCAGCCCCCTGGTAGCATGAATTGCAGGTGTGGGCCACTGTGCCAAGCTTGCTGTGATTCTTGAAAGTGCTGATTGCAGCATGCTAACTTGGCCACACAGTGCCTGGCTAAGTAGGTCTTTCGTGTGTCAGGAGGAGGCCTTAGAAACGAAAGTGTGTGTTGGAGCGGGGATGTCCTGTGTCACGCTGTTCTTGCACAGTGCAGAGACTCTAGATTCCTTCCAGCAAGGCCTGGGGTAGACAAACGGCCATTCTAGGGCAGCAAGGTACTTGTCACAGGAAGATGGTGCCTACATTCAAAAGATCCCCAGACTCTCAGTGCCAAGGATGAAGCGGACCTCTGCACACCTGTGGAGTCACACCTGCCTGGCAGCAGGCTTAGACTCCCCCACAGTGTGTCCACCTCTGGAAGGCTGTGCCAGGGAGTCGCTGTGTGTGAGGATTGCACACCAGGAGGTTTATCTTGATTCTTGCCAAGGAAAACACTTGTCTTCAAGTATCCTGCTCAGACTTCCTCTGTGAACGTTGTGTGGACGGCGTTGACCAGTGACCCCTGGGGCAGAGGCCTTGCTGCATGCCATCTGTGTCTCCGGAGAGAAGGGAGCGGCAGGTCTGGGTGGAGAGGCCTTCAGTTAAGGGGCTGAGAGTGAGTGCGGAGTGCCGATGGGGACCCTTATTTCTTTTCTTTTCTTTTTTTTTTTTTTTTTTTTTTTTTTTTTGTCTTTTTCCTTTTTATCAGTACCAGGGATCGAACTCAGGACTGCCTGCTTGCAAGGCAGGCACTTATGCTGCTGAGCTAAATCCCCAGCCCCTAAGGGGACCCTTATTTCTATTCTAAGAAAGGTGGGAGCAGCATATGTGTTTTGTTACACTGATAGTCCCTAGGACACAGATTATCATGTTTATTGTTATTCTGCTTCTGTTGATCTTTGTAAACATCCACGGGTTCTGTGTGGAAGCAGCAACATACTTAATATAGGTCAGCAGGCTATGTAGCAGTTCTGATGTTGAGCATTGGAGTCAGTAACTCTTAATACTGCTGTGGCGAGTGTCTGTAAAATGTTAGCTCACCTTTTTTCCTTGGAGAAAATCCCAGAGGAGTTAGGAATTGGATTCTTTTTCTAATGTGTGTCCATTCTGTGTGTCCCTGCATTGTTTTTTCAATTTTCTTTGTCAACATGTGTACGCAGTCCGTGATACTTAGATTCCTCGTAGGGAGTCGGTCTGTGTGCAGAACACTGTGCGGTTCTTTTTTTCACCCGTTCTTTTCTTTCCTTCCCTTCCCTCCCTCTCTAGCTCTTGATCCTTTTCCCTCTTGAGAAAGACCTATCTCCTTACTTCTATTATTTTACTTTAGGTTTCTTATATAGGTGAAACCATGTGCTATTTAAGTGTATGTGTCTGATTTATTTCATTTAACATTGTGGTCTTAGGGTGCATCCATTGTCCTACAAGTGACTTGTTTACACTTCTTTATGAGACGGTTAATATTCCATTGTGTATGAATATGTTTTCATTATCCATTTGACTGTGGGTGGACATGCAGGCTGCTTCCAAGGCTCAGCTGTTATGAATTGTGGTGCTATAGACATGGGTAGGTACGTATCACTGTCATAGGATGTCTTCAATGGGTTGGGGAGGTAGCTGGGTTGAATAGAATTTCTGTTTTTAGTTTTTCAAAGACTCTTCATACTGCTTTCTGTAGTAGTTGTATCAGTTTACATTCCTACCAGTAATGTGAAGAGTCCCTTTGGCCCCACATCCCTGCTCGCATTTGTTATTTGATTTCTTGATGACAGCTGTTCTTTCTGCGATAAGATGGAATAGTGCCTTAATTTGTATTCCTCTAATAGCCAGGGATGTTGAACAGTCCTTCATGTATTTATTGGCTATTTGAGAAGTGTTCGTTTTCTTTGCCCGTTTTTTTATATTTGTAAGAGGTCTAATTTTTTTGAGTTATATGTTCTAGAAAATAGTTCTTTGTCTAAGGAATGCCAGGCAAACTATTTTCCCATTTTGTAGGTTTGTTGACTTGTTGATTCTTAGTTTGTTTCCTGTGCAGTCCCAGCCCACGTGCTTTTTGAATCATTCAAAACTAGTAATTAGAAAAACCACATTTCTGTTTATAATATTTCACATTGCAGTGAAGGAGATTCTGGCTTTGTACATAAGACTTGAAAGGAAATGTTCTTAGAAGTGGTCAGCGTGTATAAACATTTGATCTGTGATGTGGCCAGAAATAGTAAGTGAATTATACACCC